ATAGATATGAGCAATTAAGAACAAGCATTTATTATTGAACCTAATCAATCATCCCCTATCTCTAGCGTATGGATTTAGCTACTCATATGGAATTTAACATCAACATTCATATAGCCCAAGCCATCATCATCAACACACAATTGAGAAAAGAAGAACTTACGATTAATGTAAATAGTTCAATGTCAAATCCACAAGCATCCAAATCCAAAGCAAGAAAATAGAGTTTCAATCTCCAAAACCAATCAAAAGAGCAAAAATATGAAAAGGAATGAGTTTCTAGAGAGGAAAAGTGTAAAAACGAAGTCTGGGAGGTGAATTCTGATCCCTAGGACCGAAATCTGATGTTAAAAACCCGTCCTCGAAAACCGCGCCGCGTAAATCGCGAGTCGCGACATAAGTCGCGAGTTGCAACTTCCACTTTTCTCAGGTCGCGAGTCGCGACATCTCGCGAGTTACGCGTCGGCAAAAATCTTCAAAATCTGGGGAAAGTCGCGACATGTCTCGCGAGTCGCGACTCCATCTCGCAAGTCGCGAACTTGACTCGCGAGTCGCGACTCGTGCTCGCTAACTTCATCTTTAGCCTCTGTTGAACTCGCGAGTCGTGACCTTCTCGCGAGTCGCGACCATCACGCGAGTCGCGACTCCACTCGCGAGTCGCGAGAAATTCTGGGCAGTCTTCAGTTCATTTTTCTGGTCCTTCCTTTAGCTTTCGGAGCTCCACGACGGGTATTCTTGGCATCACGGTCTCGTCTCCAACAGTCTCGTCCTCGACCGACACAACCTATCTCCTGAAAACACAAACACAGAAAAACACGAAGCAAAACACAGCAAAAAGGCGCACAAAACGAAACTAAAGAGAAAAACACAAAAACACAGAATTGGACCAAATAAACCACGAAAATCCTATAAATGGGGAAAATAAAAGTAAAATAAACCCAAAATAAAGACTCAAAAATGGGACAAACATGCACTCTTGCACTTGTTTCTGTAGTGCCTGGTCTTCCCACAATTCCGACACTCGATCAACTTCAAGTTTTGGGAACTACGATGATTTTTGGACTTGGATCTTCTTCCATTTGATTTGTTGTGTCTGCTTTCTTTGGTTGAACTTCTTCCTCTTGACTCTATATTCAAAACAAAAGAGATCGATGGTTCACCCGACTCTCTCCGCCAGATTTCTTCACTGAGAACCAAATTTTGAACATCATCAAATCTCAACTTACTGCTTCCCAATGAGCTACTCACAGTCGTGGCCGTAGCATTCCAACTTTCTGGTAGGGAAGACAAAAGTATTAAAGCACGTACTTCATCATCGAACTCGATCCCAACTGAACTCAACTGCGTTGTAATGGTGCTGAGTTCGTTGAGATTATGTGTCACATGAGCACTTTCAGTCATCTGCAGGTTGAACAGTCGCCTCATCAAATGAACTTTTTTTGAGACTAATGGTTTCTCGTACATGTTGGAAAGGGCCTTCATGAGGCCTGCTGTCGTCTTTTCTTTTGCAATGTTAAAAGCAACATTACAGATAATGTCAGTTGAATGGCTCCAAGAGTTTGTCTGTGAAGAAGACTCCATTCTTCCTCCTTCATGTCCTCTGCCTTCTTTCCTGTGAATGGTTGATACATATTCTTCTGGTACAGATAATCCTCGATTTGGATCTTCCAAAAGCCAAAGTCTGCACCATCGAACTTTTCAATTTTCATTTTTCCTTCGTCTGCAGCAATCACTTTGTTTTTTATCTGACTCTCTATCGGATCGTTTCTGATAATTTTTGTGAACTATCGTGTTTCAGAACACGTCGATAGATAAATTTGTAGCGCCGACAAATTTGACACTATTCACATTTTCACTATTCACGGAATAGTAACACCACACAAAAATTACAGAATTAACAATCTGGCTCTGATACCAGTTGTTGGAAAAAATACGCTGAATTTTTCATGAAGTCGGAACTATAAAAGTGAAATAGAAGCGAAAAATTGGACACGCCAATTAATAATGGAGTTCGACCAATAATGTCTACGTCTCCGGACTACTGCATATATGTTATTAGGAAAAAAGAAATATACTCATGTTTACAAAAACTCTCAGACTCACTCACAACTCACAACTCAAATACACACATAAGCTAAAATTTTTGTTTCTTGCTCACACCATTTTTCTCTTTCTTTTCTCTCTTTTGGATGTTGTACTTGGTGTGTATTGTGTTCATTAGAATCCCTCTATTTATAGAGGGATAGTGCAATGTGAACATTTCACTCCAAATTCTCCAATTGTTGCTGCCTTTGTTGTTCTTCTTTTGTTGTTGTCAAATGAGGAGGGCTGCTGCCATTTTTTACTCAACATCTTTGTCATTAAATGCAGTGAGATACTTTCACTGCATTTAATTCTATACGTAATATGAGGTGGTTAAAGATATTCAATGGTAATATAATGTTTATTAATTGAAACCGACACAGTCATAATAACTCTGAATCTCTTCTTACCTCTACATCGACATGACATGACATCTCTCTCTTTCTCTTTCTCTCTCTCACAGCATATATATTTATTAATATGTGTACATATATTTAACTTTTTTACCTAACAATAATAAATGACACTAAAACTATGAATTATCATAGAAATTAGAAATATGTTATGTATATCAAATGATAATTCTATTCAACAATTGTTAAAATATTGGTAAAAGTTTACTTCAAAATTTATACAAATACTTTAAAGTAATTTATTAGTATCTTAATAAGAGACAAACAATACATTCATACAATCCTTCTAAAATATTTTTTGAAGTTTTCTTAAAAAAAATATTTTGACATATTAAATAGATATATATTTCAATATTTTGCAAGTGTACAAATGATTAATCTATATTAAATTATCTATATATATATATATATATTGCTTTTAAAATGAATATAAAAGGATATTGAGTTTAATTTGAATTTTTTTTAAATATGTGGGTGGTATTGAAAATATGTAAATATTGATGTAAAATAATATCTTTTGGGTTTGAGAATAAGTTTATCCGTTGAAGAAGAGTTACAGTTTAATGTAACAGTTACTGCAAAATGAGTTTTTCAGTTGAAAATGACAATAATGAATTAACTTGCAGCCCTTTTGAGGTAAAGGATAATTCATTTTCATCTGAAGTACGAACCCCGTGCGATGCACATATAATAGACATTTATTAATATTCATAAATTAAAATTTTTGAAATTTAAATTGTGCAAAAATCACATAGAACATGTTTATTTAAAATTAGTACACGACCCGACAACGAAGCGCAGTTTGAGTGGTAAGACGTTTCACCTATGACCAATAGGTCATGAGTTCGAGTAACTGAGTAGGGGAACTAAGAACACTATTGATCCTCCTTAAAAAAATCATCCATGTATTGATTTCATATTTTATTTAATAATAAATGTTGTACTCATTTTTATTTGTCACTCTATTTTTTATATTTTTTATATTTACTTATAATTCAAAATATAATTTATTTTATAATATTTTTTTCCAATTTTATGAGGATACAATTTCTTTTTTTATTTTTTCCCAAAAATATCCGATGGAGTTTTACGCCTCAAACTTAACAATGTATGTGGTGATTAAATAATATTTTTTTTTAATTTGTACAACAAATATTTATTTAAAGTACATTGAAATATTTTAATAAAAAATACATATTAATCTCATCTTATTTGATTTTACATCTTACGAACATAGTTAAGAAATAAAAAAACATCATTATTATAAATTTAGAAAAACACTAACCGTTTACATATATTGAATTATCAGTCTTATTAGTGAAAATTTTATTATTTTTATATACCATCTATCTAACCACTAAAGTTTTATTTCATATATATTTAAAAATTTAAATTTATCCCACTTTTTAACTTCAAAATTTTTCAAATTTTCTTCTTATTTTATAGGTGAATATATTATTTTAGCACAAGAATGGTAAATTTAAATTTCACGTCAAAATTGGACGGAATTTTCAACAATCCCACCATTTTAAGGTTCATTTAATGATGCGTTTAAAAAGTAAAAAATAAAATAAAAACTTGCTATTAATAGGATGCAATTAATGTTGAACCATGTTTGACCAAAATTGACCTGCTATTTTTAAAAAATAGTTATTCTTT